TTTCGAAGAGTGTTGTGAGCATAAGTGAAAGTGCTGTGAGACGGGACCTACAGTTTTTCGTCGTTATCCGAGAAGACTAGAGAGTCTAATCGTTTGCAGATAAGATTGAAAAGGCAGAATTTTTTCTCAGTTATTTAAAGACACTGAGTGATGGTCTGGCCGGGGTTTGAAACCGTGACATTCTGCTCAGCAGACGGGCGCTCTTCCAACTGAGCTAACCAGACGGTGATAAAGGACATCGCTATATTCTGGGAGAATAGCCGTTTGTTCTTTTATCGCACAACCTTGAGATTGTAAACACTGCCTTATATTTCTCCTCTTTCTTATTAATAGCAACAAGAGCTATCGCCATTGGAGACCGCCAGCTTATTTGCCCTGTTCCACCTATGAAGGACGCAAACAGGTGGATATATCTTTTATTAACCTACGCCATTTTTCGGGAAATTTTAGAAGAGTTTTATTTTACCCAACCTTTTTTCGGCGTCCCAAACATTTGGGACTTCGGGGGTTGGGGGGTGATAGGTGAAAGTATTTCAAATGCAGAATGAGGCTACTTGTATTCTACACAATTCAAAACTAACAACTAAGGATGCATAGAATGCTCATTAAAAAGTAATGATAAACAAAATTGCCGTGTTGTATTTGGAGTTTCCTTCCAAGCGTTTCGGGCTTGGTTCTTCATCAGTGGTGTTACAAGTACGTTAGAAACGTTGCAAGGTTTGCATATGAAATAAAAAAACAATAACAAGTAAACTTTGCAGTGCTTGCGCGGCTCTGCAAACGTACTTGTAACTCCAGTCTCGAAACTTTTGGAAAGAAACTCGAACTACAACGCGGCTCTTTTGTTCATCACCGCTGTTTTATGGAACATTCTCTTACATACTTCCTATTTAAGTGCTACGAATTTTGTTTTTCGTTATTTGTTCAGCTAATGATACATCCTGTTTTATTGCTTATCATTTTTTTTCTTTCGCCTTCAGTTCCTTGATGTTGCAGGTTTCATTGAATAATGGAACAACGTTCGTTTCTAGTAACGTGAACATTACAACTAAAAATTGCCCAAAACCGGAAAATAATGGAACAACGTTCGTTTCTTGTGACGGGAACGTTACAACTAAAAATTGCACACAACCAGTAAAGCCGAATGAGGAAAAAGAAAAGGAAACAGAGCCGACAAAGGTATGCTACTTTGTAGTGTTTACGTAGGATTTACGTTTTTTAGGCTACTTACTGCAACTGGTGACATGTAATGTGTTCTGGTTAAGCTTTAGATATCTAGATAGCACTTATTGAATTGGCTGTCTTAATAAACCACTAAAAAAAAGAAAGAAAAATACTCAGCGATTTTTGTTTTTCGCCTACTGTAAACTGCCGCTTGTAAGCTTCCACGTGACTTAAAACTCGCTTCCCCTCCCGCCTCCCCCCCCCCAGTTATATGCCGATCTAGCTGCACGCAAAAAAAAAAATGTTAAAACCCCAGTAAAACGACCCCCGTTAAAACAATTTTCCCAATATAATGGGAATTAAAAAAAAAAAAAAAAAAAAATAAAAAAAAGGAGATAATACAAAAAAACTTTCAACAAAAAAAAATAAATTATAAAAAAAAAAACAAACAAAA